AGAAAGCCCAGAAATAAACCCACACCTATATGGTCAATTAATATTTGACAAAGAAGGCAAGAACATACAAGATGTTCAACATCTCTAATCATCAAAGAAATGAAATCCAGAATGAGATATCATCTAACACCCCAGAATGGCCATCATCAATAAAATCAACAAACAGCAAGTGCTGGTGGAAATGTGAAGAAAAAGGAACCCTCATACACTGTTGGTGGGAGTGCAGATTGGTGCAGTCACTATAGAAAATCATATGGAGTTTCCTCAAAAAATTAAATCTAGACTGCCTTATGACCCAGAGATTCTACATCTGGGTATATATCTGAAGAAACCCAAAACATTAATTCAAAAGAATATATGCACCCCTATGTTCACTGTAGCATTATTTGTAATAGCCAAGATATGGAAGCAACACAAGTGCCCATCAATAGACCAGTGGATAAAAACATAGCAAAACACATAATAATGGAATATTGCTCAGCCATAAAAAAGGAATGGAGTCTTACCCTTTGTGACAGCATGGATGGGCCTAGCAGGTATTATGCTATGTGAAATAGGTTGGCCAAAAAAGGACAAATACCTTATGCTTTTTTTAATATGTGGAATCTACAAAACAAAATAAACAAACAAATAAAACAGAAACAGTCTCATAGAGAAACAGAACAGGCTGATGGTTGCCAAGGGAGTGGGGGTTAAAAGACAGGATAAAAAAAGTGAAGAGATTAAGAAGTACAAATCGGCAATTACACAATAATCACCAGAATGTAAAATAAGTCCAGCATAGAGAATATAGTCAATAATATTGTAATAACTGTGTGTGGTGACAGGTAGGTACCAGAAATATCAGAGGGAACACTTTCTAAAATATATGACTGTTTAACCACTATGCTGTACACCTGGACCTAATACAAAATAATATTCAGTGTAAATTGTAGTTGAAAAAAAGCAGAAAAAGAAAAGAACATTACGCCTCCCTGATCAAAGGAACAAGTCTTTATCTCAAGAATTTCAAGTCTTATAGCAAACAAGCAGCAGTGAATATTATCATGAAACTGAGCTTTCTGACCACATCTGATTGGTGTTTTCTGGAGGCTGATTGCCAGAGTTTCAAATGAAATAAATCTTTTTAATTTATCATCATAAGGACAGCATCTGCTGTCCAAATGAGTGGGTTTATGGCCAGAAGGCATTCCACATATTTAGTAATATCCTAACCCATTCTATTGTTAGCTACTTATTTTCCAGATTTGTTTAACCTGCCCATCTTCAGAGGAATTTGAAGTTTCCCTTGTCATTCTGGAATTTAGGCCGTTCAGAACCTGCTTACCAAGTGCTGAGCCCAATCCAGCTATGGGCCCATAGGCGCTCCCAAATACAAACTTCACCCAGTATGAGTTACACATCGGTGGGTGCTTTTATTGAACCACTTCTAGAAACCTATAGGAAGAAGAGAATTTAGTTAATAGAAGCTAAGGATTTCACTTAAGAACATGCATTTCAACTTCAAAAATAGAAGAGAGTCAATGTATTTTTTCTCAATAATGTTGTGGTTTAAACAAAACGAATTTTCTGTTGCCATTTTTAAAACAAACATATTTTCAGAGATTTGAGTAGATATTTTAATATTACATTATTTTGATGCTCTTGTGGATAAATGTTTAAAATAGAAACAAATAAAGCACCCAAAGGAAAAAGAAAAAAGGAAACCTACACTTCATTGATTTGAATGTTTTAAATTATAGGGTAAAAGCACCAACTCCCGAGCCTCAGCCAAAAGGATTAAGTAGATCCAGATGTCACAGACATAAAGCCAAATGTTTACATCACATCTTAAAAATAATCATTGTTTAATCCTGCAAAGATATGGAGTGATATGTCAGATGGTTTAATGTATCAAGGGGAGAGAGAGAGACAGAGAGATGCCAGCTTTACGTAGACAGGCAGAGAAGCAAATGTCCGAGAGCTGAATTTCAGGTGACTCTCCCCAGAAGCTTAATGTTTTCAACTCACTGAGGATGAGTTTCTCAGCATCTACCCTTTACCCTTCAAGTTGTCAGAGGACAGTCTATAATTTTTATGTGGCAAAAGAATAATTTTTAAAAATGAATATATTACCAATACTAAGTGAATATAGTCTCTAACCTAATTCTAGACTCATTCCCTAGCAAGACCCTCTTCATAACATGTGGGTTTCCCTGCCCCGAACCGTTGGATTTTCCTCCAATATGGGTGCCATCTGTCTGCAACATCTGTTATTCCACTGGTCGCAGAAGTCGATTTGGATGATCTGCCTGGTTTCTTTCTCTCTTGGGTATTTCTTACTACCTGTCCCTCTTCTCACCCAAAACCATGTAGGTCTACATGGGCAAAAGTTATGGAAAACATATTTCCCAAGCCCACTATCAGAATACTCATAGTCTGACAATTATGACTATACTTAAGCATACAAAGAGCATAATATTGAGCTCTCTGAAGTATCTACAATGGGTACTGTCAGTCTGAAGAAGGTTGGTAGACATTAAGCACTAATATTTTCCTACAACTTTCGGGTCCAGATTATTCTATCACCAAACATTAATTATATTTGAACAAGTGAGAATTTTAAAAGGCATTTGCAGTTCATAAGGCTTTTTAAACTGTTTTTTTAAATCCTCAAATAGTTGTAGCACTTATGTTTTTAGAAATCTCTATAAGCACACAGATTGGCCTCCTCAGCTAGAGTCACCATTTTTGGGCACTGGGAATCATGTAAAATCTCTGGAGTCAGAGGGACCGTGGGGCACAGTGTCACGACACTCATCCTCTGGTTTGGGACTGCACATGGAACCCCTACCTCAAATGGAATGGGTTACTCTGCCACTTCCTCTCCAGTCAGAACCTGCCCTGTAGCCCATCATCCTTTGCTAACGACTGACCACGGAGGCTGGGTCTCCTCAGAAAGCAAGAGGAAGTGGAGGAAGCATGGACAGTGTCATGTCCTGTAATCAGCAGTTCTCCGGCCTGACCCACGGGCCTGTGATCCCACAGCCAGGACTCACAGAGCCACAGCGTCCATGCAGGGGCAGGGCAGAGGGAGATGCTGCACCACCACAGAAGCTAACCCCAGGCTACACAAGCAGGACCAAAACAATTTGTCAAGCTACAGAGTGCAGATGAGTGTGGCTCCAGAGAGTCCAAAGGCTGAGTCTGTTTTGCTTCTACAATGGAGCAATTAGTGTCCTAGCAATATGTATCAACGAGATAGTTAGGCAGCATTTCCGGAAGAAATATACTGCCAGGAAAGTAGACTGTTTCCAGCATAGGTTGCTCTAGTATGCATTCTTCTTTTTATAACTCTTGGTAACTTTTAAGTATATGACAGTCATACCTTAATATTTTATTTTATTCACTAGCATTATTGAAGCAGGAGTCATGTGAAATGAAATCAGAATTTGGTATCTGAGAAAACCTCACATGAGAGCTGTATACTTTTCTTCTCGAAGTTTTTGAAATTGCTCCTCCACCCTCCATCCACCTACAGGTTGAAAGATTGTGACTCAAGGGGTAGGCATCTGAAGTTGAGATGTGCAGAAAACAGATGTGATTCCTCACTGTCCCTTCTCAAAGCAGGGGCAGTAATCACCTCCAGGGCCCAACTGCTCTTCCCAGAGCTGGCTGCCTGAGTGCACCATTACCTATAAACCTTCCCACCTAGGGGGCCATGGGAAACGGAAATAACAGGAAGATGGAGGCTGTTACTTTGCTCCTTGGGGAGTGAAGTATGAGATCTGTGGGACGAGGAAGATCAGCCTCAGAGCTTAATTCCCACACCCAAGAGGGCAAATACTACTTCCTTGGATCTTCAGAGGCAAAAGCCTGTGTTACTTTAGTACAGCCAGGCCTGCAAGTCTTGGGCTAGTAAAACCATTTTTGAATCCACATTACTGGCGATTAGCGATACAAATCAAAACACATTTTTCATCATTACATGTGAACTACAATCTACAGCCAAGCTGAGGGACATTTTTTACTTTATTGGAAATAAAAAGGTTTTGAAGCTCTTTTGGAAATATACATTTCTTAGCACCCAAAATCATCAAACAGAAAATGTGTTTGTGACTTTAAGCAGATGGCGACACCCCCTCCCCACCCACCTACTGATACTGCTTCCTTGGAATGACATGCAATGTGGTAGGAGTTCCAAATTGCCACCCTCAGTTGAAAGGGTCTCAAAGCTGAGCACACAAGTGCAAAATGAAACATCTTTGCAAGCTATTGTCTGTTCAGCGTTCCCCACTGGGGGAAATGGAAAATGAAGACTCAGCCCTGAATTCCTCTTCCTCCTCCATCTGTCTGCCTGTTTATTAGTTGATGGGACATGTCACCATGGCACCAAGGTCTTCAGCAGCATGGAGTAGGTGAGCATGCTTACGGACAGAGAAGGCCAGCCTGTGCCCAGCTTCTTCCCTGAGCAGATGTGGAAGAACGGTTCCATTCTCTGTAACTAACAAACAGCAGGGCTAACATACAGATAAACAAGAGATGAGCAGCAAGCCCTTTTGTTCAGGGAAAATCAGCTAAGACTTGGCATTAGACACACAGGGCCCCTCCAGCATCGTGCATCCTTCTGCCATAACAAGTTCAAGTGCATTTTTTTTTTGTCTTTCAACTTTTCATTTTGAGATAATTATCGATTCACTTGCAATTGTAAGAAATAATTCAGAAAAATCCACTCACCACTTACCCAGGCATCCCTAATTAGGTAGGTAACATCTTGCAGGACAATAGTAAAAATCAACAAGGATATTGATAGGACCCATCAACACATGTATGTTCTGAAAATCAATTTAACCCCTTAAAAAAGCAGCAAATCCATAAAAATGCCTCAGGTTCGACGGTCTTTCAATGATTTTTTTGTATCTCCATGAACAAGACCAGCTTGCTTGGCTGAGGGAGGCATGACCGACACTGTTGACTCACCGCACCAAGAGTTCTTTGAAACGTATCAAACTTCTCTGTCACTAATAGCACTTCCCACGGAGGAGGAACTTCTTTGCATTTTGTTTCAGTTTAGGATTTCCTAAGATTAAGACAATGGAGTGTACAGAGGGGTATAAACCAACCAGCAACAGGCAGAAGAGAAAGACAAAGTCTCTGATCTTGAAAATATGAGAAAAGGCTAAAGTAGCCATCATGTACTGGGAGACATAGAGAAGCAGGAAGGACATGAAGGACCGGAGAGCACTGATGTGGACACTCAAGCCTGGGGGCCTGGCGCCCGTGGCTGTGCTTATCATCTGCTGGGTGTGTCTCCCCAGGGAAAATATCAAGAGAAGAGCAGAGATAAGGAAGATAACTAAGGGCAGTAAGAGTTCAGTGAACAAAAATACAGCCTGTAACACAGGAATTTCTTCGATTTTTCTGACTTGAGTTGTTGCATTAGGGAATAAAAAGCTCGACCAGACATTTTGGAAGAGAATCCATGCATATTTTCCGTGCAGTACAGAAGTGAGAGATGTACATAGCATGGTCCCCAAAATCAGCCATGGCAACAACTTGGAGATCCTCAACTTCAACCAAAAGAAGAGTGGGTGAGCAATGGGGGAGATCTTGGTGCAGTAGAAAACGCTGAGCCATGTGGCAAGCCAGAGTTCCAACTGGTATATAAACATGAAAATGGCAAAACAACCAGGAGGAAGAGAGATTTCAATCAAGGAAAGAAGAGCCAGATTAAAGTAGAACATGAGTATCTGTAAACAAATCCTGGAAGTCGCCAGGCAGCAAAGAAGGAGGTCGAAGGACAGCATCTTCCTCTGCTTGATCCAGGCTGTGCTGTTCACCACTACAATGACGCCATTTGCTAAAACCCCCACAAGACACTGTATTGTTGAAAAAATAAGATGGGTAATAATGAAAGGCTCTAGCATTTTGACCAAAAAAACCCAGTTATTTAAAAATTGATGTAGTTATATATTTTGGACAATTTGAATTATTCAAGTTTTCTGTTTTTCTTCAACGAGACTGAACCCCTATGGGGGACACGGCTCTAACAAGAAAGGCAGTGAGGCAGGAATGTGTTTATAGCAGTTTTCTCCACATAGTACTGAGGCAGTCAAATAAGAAAGAAATAGTCTAGCAACAATTTGCTTGTTCACAATGGCTTTTGCATTTTCCAGGCCTAGTTAGCTTTCAACATCAGCATCACAAGCAAATGTTGGAAATTAGACACCTTCAGGGCTGGGAGAAGGGGGCCCTCTGCTACATCATCAGTGGAAGTTTCTTAGCCCCTCATTGGTAGCAAGAATATTTGTGTCTACAGGTGGCATTCTACTTAATGTTTGTGAAGCGTTCTTTAAAAATTTTTTTGAAATTGTCACCTCTGTTACCACCATGCAGACACTCAGCCATGTCAGGCTCCTAAGTATTGTTCTACTATGCAGCAGCTGAGCAATTCAGGACCACCCAAAACTTAAAACAGTGATGTAATAAAATATATGTGATGCACAGAGAGCACCCCAAATGTGTGTATTCATGGGTCAAAGGCCTAAGGGAAAGTAATTCACAGCCAAGAAAATCAGCCGGCACCATTCACACCAGCAACTATCTGCAGAATAACACAAAGGCTGGAACCTTTTCCTGGTTATTTTCTCAAAACCAGGACAATTTTATGACATGAGCTTGTTGTTCCAGGGGGAAAAGTAACAATAAAAGAGTACATGACTCAATGTGTTGTTATAACAGACTATTTTTGGAAAAATTAAGTTAGCATTTTTTAACATGTGTGCTGTGCCAGGTCTGGTGCTAAACCAGGTTTTCTCGATGTCCACACTGTCCATATTTGGGTTGGATAAATCTTTGTTGGTGTGGAGAGGGAGCTGTCCTGTGCAACGGAGGATTCACCAGCATCCCTGGAGTCTACCCGCTAGGTGCCCATAGTGTGTCCCCCTTCCTAAGTGTGAAAACCAAAAATGTTTCCAGAAGTTGCCAAGTGTTCCCTGAGTGGCAAAATCACACCTAGTTAAGTACCACTCTCCTAAACACTGGGGGACAGCAGTGGACAAAATGGAGTTTCTGTCCACCAGGCATTCAAAGACTAAAGGCAGAGCCAGCCACATGTACAGTGTGACAACAAACTAAATTAGCTATTTGGACAATTCACCACCAGAGCACAAAGTGGGGAAGAATTTATTAAATGCTGGGGGAATGGAAGCTTTTCTAATGTACCACTTGATCACAATGTTCCCAGCAGATCCCCTACGGAGGCATATGTTCTGGATATAGGTCCTTTGTCCAGAGGTGTCATAAACGACACTAAAGATGAATCTTACATTTAGTAAGCTGGCAGGAAACCCAGATGGAAACACTAGTTGTGAGTTACTTTGTCATTCTTCTCTGAATATGTGATATCTGTGCAATGTAGGCTCCACTTCGCTGTTCTTGCCACAGCTTCCATGTGATGAAGGGAGCAAAGGGGAGCATCTTCAGGGAGGCAGGGAGGGAGGCAGCTCCTGAGTGGCTTCTATCAAAACGGATCCGGAGTTGACCATGACCATCAGGATAAACCTTGTTCTTCTCCTTCCGGTGGAGAAAATGTACTAAAAACTTTGATTTTACCTTCTGTAGGCTTGAAAAGCAAAAATGGAAGGACATCCACCTGTGAATAATGAAGCTAAGAACACTCGAAAGAGAAGTAACTACTACTTCCCCAGTGCTCAATCAAACCTCTGTCAAGGTGCTGGTTGCCAGCCTGTGCCCTGCGCGGCTCAGCCCCGTGAAGGCACGGCTGGGCTTTCTCTTCATCCCCAGCATCCAGTCATTCTTTGGTGTTTGGCTTATGGCGCATTCATTAGGTAAAACCAAATTGAATCACATAAGGGTTTTTGTAGCAAAGGAAAAGATAAACTAATGTTATAGACTCACATTGAAAGACCGCTTTTCCTTTCTAACTCTCTGTTCCTAGAGACATCACATCTTAAGACCAGCATCAAGACCTTTCCTATTGCTCCAGTGTTGCCTAGACCCTTGTGTTCTGAGTCCTTCAGCATGGTCTGGGCATTTCAATATATTGCAAAAAAAAAGTAATGGTAAAACCAAGGCAAAAAAGTGGAAAAATTCTATTTTGATTCTAGAATAGTAATATAGTCTTTCTGAACTGACAGCCAACTAGCAGAGATCACGCATAGTATACCAAAGACTTAAATGAAATAACTATGGCCAATTCTATCTATTAACATGCTGTTTGTCTTTTGGATTCAAGCATCTTGAGGGGATATTTGATTCTCAAATATTCTATTATAACCTTTCTTAGAACTAGCTTGGGGAGTACAGGCAATTCTTCACAGAGAACTTTATTTCACAAAGAGCAGCTCCTCTGACGCAGAAATCCCATGAAGTAAAAAATAAAAATTCTTCAGGCTGAAGCTCCATTTTTCTTCATTAAATAATTTCGATCACCCATCCCTCTATTGAGCCCACACAAAGGCTGCTGAAGGCGCCCCATTCCTGGACGAGTGCCAGCAACTCGCCGGAGACTTGTATTTCTTACACTGAAGGGGGCTGGATAAGAGAGGTCCGTCCATAGCAGCAGAGCACTTGTGTGGCTGCTAAACTAATGTCCTATTCAGACCCCAGGGGCAGCTGAATTTCAGTGCTAATGTGAAGACCTCCAGGGTCATGTTATCCAGCCTTCCCCTTAGATTCTACTACATAAATCAAAATAACCACGGGCCTCTGTCATGCTGTGCTGAGCAAGAGCGAGCTAAATATTTTAATGAGCAATGCAACAAACCAGAGAAAAATGCTCCTAAATATAGAAGCCCTTTGCAACTCTTAAGAAGCAGTTGGTTTTTGTGAGAAGGACACATCAGAGAATTTCTGGCTCTGAGATGAAAAACCTGTGTCTGGCCTCACCTGTCAGTCATCGGCTCAGAATGGTGACAGTTTTACATGGACAAATGGCTTGGAACAGATGGAACAAGTCCCGATGTGGAGAAATTCACATGATGATTACCCCATATTACCCTGATTAAATCTGCTCACTCACACTCATCTGTAATGAGCCGTCATTAAAAGAGACAATACTAAATATTCTCAAGGTAACTGACAGGCGGAAAGAGTTGCTTATTTATATTCAGATCATTCAGCCCCTCAAAAGAAAAGTGCACTTTTTTTCACAGGCAGTTAGACTGACATTGGTGAGCTTTTCACCAGGTACGACACTGTAATAATCATCTGTCTGCTTTCTGGTGGTACACGGACATTTACTTTGTGATTAGAGTCATCTTGAAAGTGAGCGATAGTTTTAATACCGTCCCCAAGTGAGTCTTCCCATTTCATTATCAAGGGAACAATTCCTGCTTTAAGGAACATGCCCATGTATTAACATTATTGTATATTTAATAAGATCATTCAAGTGAGAGAGAAATAGACCCTGGACTAACCAATACAGACATCCTTGCTGCATCTCCCTTGGAGCATAGCTCAGCCCTTGTTAAAGCCTATATGGAATTTATTTAATCTAAAATTCACAATATTTTGGTTAAGAGCTCCAGACTCTTTCAGATTAATCATTTACTGCATCCATTCATTTGCTTCTCTCCACTTAAATATGCAGTTCATCTTTCAGACTGAAATTTTTGCTTTTAACATTCAGGTCACTCTCCTATACTTGTGCCTTCTCTTTCTCTTTTCTATCTTAGTCATATATTCTGTGCTTTCCTTTCCTTCTCACAATATTCTTAAATGTATCCTCATGGCAGCAAACAGAATCATGGTGCCTGAATTTAAGTCTTTCTCATAAAGAGCTCCAAGTGCTTTACAAACAAGAATGCCACGTTGGTTACAGTGAGGAGGACGACCCAGGAACGGTGCACTCGGCTCACGTGAATAACCTCAGCCCCCACGATTTTGTCTTCAGCTCTAAACTGAGTGCTGGAATTTCCAATCATTTCTTACTCCCCCTTCTCCCTGTCCCTCCCTCCCTGATTCTTCCTTCTCTCCTATCATTTCTGTTCTCACTTCTTTCCTTCCCCTTCCTTTTCCCTTCTATACTTTAACGTATATTTATTGTGTGTATTATGGACTATGGACTAGGCACTATTCTAAACATGAAGCATACGGTAAAGAACAAGACAGAGTCTCTGTCATGTTGGAAATTACATTTTAGTGGGGAAGATCAGAATTAAACAAGTAAAGAAATAAATACCTCCAGGTAATGTAGAGCAAGGTGCTATTTTAGAGAGTGTGGTTGTGGAGACAGAGTCCTTGAAGGGGAGGTGGTTACTGAAAAGAGAACTGGATGAAAAGGAATCATCTCTGGGGGTCTAGGAGATGAGCCTTCAAAGTGGTGACAGACAGAGCAACACCCCTTGAATAAAAAATAAAAAAAAAGAGCTTGAGAGCTTGAAGTGTTCCAGAAAACAAGGGGGCAACTATTTCAATGCCGGGGCAGCATGTGCAAGGAAAGGGACCCGAGGAGAGGAGAAGAGAGAGAGGCAGGGGTGGTGAGGCCAGATTGAGGGTGGGGGTTCACTCTGGAGAACAGACTTGGGGGTCGGGAAAGGGCAAGAGTGGGAGCACAAGGTCCAATCTGAAGGCTGTGCAGTAGACTAGGCAGGGGATGTTGCTGGTCTAAATCAAGTTGGTGGTAGATGGTGGGAAGACGCGTCTGGATTTGGAATATATTTTGAAAGTAGAAGCCACGAGGATTTCAGATGACTTTGATAGGGGCAGTGAGGGGAAGAGATAACCAAGAATTACTCTTGGGTCATTAGCATTATTTATTGTGAGTTGGTGCCACTTTGCAAGAAGGGGAAGACTGGAGAAGGTTCAGATTCAGAGCCCTGCTGTGGACATGTTCAGTCTGAGATGCCTACTCCAGGTGGAGATGCTATTAAACAGTGGGCGATACATTTGGAGCTTGGGTAGT